CAATCTTATTGGCCACAGGCAGCATTTACCTGAAGAGGTCATATTTTTACATCTTTCATCCTCTGATTAGCTGGAGGTTCAACATGTATGATCAAGATTCAGTTACTTAGTTACAAGGGTTAGGTTATTGCCTGCTTGTGTATCAGGCAGCTTATATTTCCCAGAGGCCAATTTGGTCTAAGCTTACTGTTCAAGTATAGAGGCTGGTTAAAGTAAGTTTATTTTGTTTCAGCACTCTTCTTTTCTTCAGGGGGCTAGCAACTCTAAATCATTTAGAGTGTATCCTTCCAGACCATGTTTGTATGTCTTGTCATTTTATTAACTTTGAGACTGTCTTTTCTTTAAAATATTATATAAGTAATACATTAATGCATATGTACACTTACATATATAGTACATAGCTTTTGTTTTCTTTCTTTTCTTTTTCTTTTTTTGGTCTTTCCCAGTACCAGGGATCAAACGCAGAACCTTGTTTTTGCAAGGCAGGCGCGGCACCACTGAGCTAAATCCCCAGCCCTGGAAATATAGCTTTTTTTATAGTACTGGGGATTGCATCCAGGGCCTTTGTACTGAGCTACCTGCCCCCAGCTCCTTTTTTATTTTTATTTTGAAGCAAGACCTCTTTAAGTCACTAAGTTTCCTAGATTGAGCTTGAATTTGTGATCCTCTTGCTTCATCCCGAAATAGTTTTTTTTAATGAGTGTGGATTTTATGATATTTTTGTTTTTTTGAGTGGGTCATGCTATACACATTGGTCTGTAATTTTCTTTTTTCTGTGGAGATCAATTCTAAGTAGTGCTCCCATCTAAGTATTGTATAGATATACTACATTCTTTTAAACTGATCTGTAATTCTATTACATGAATGTAGTCTTTATTAACCAGTTCCTTTGAGAGACCTGATTCATTAATTTCCAACAAGATGAGATCATTTGCATATTTTCAGTTCATTTTTTTTCTTCTGCTTTTAGTTAAAAGAATCTAGGCTTTGAGATCCAGATTATTATTATTGGTTAATACATTGCATTCAATATGAAGAACAATGCTTCACGTTTCTAGGTGTGGGTCTTTTGCTTAATTTTGTCTGTTATATTGTGAGTCCTTTTAATTTTAAAATTCAGTCTTTCTTTGGCTCAGAGAAAATTTTATGTTATTTCTTTGACCTTAAAAACCTTCTACCTTTTTTTATTTTTTCCTCTTGTTCTAGTAATTTTTAAAAATAAACTTCTGTCAAAGGCTGGATTTTAGTAGTTAGCAGAGAGAAAGAGAGCCATTCTGCTACATATGAAATACCCACTCAGAAGCAGGTTGTCTACCAACACCAGGTTCCCCAGAAACATGTTTCCTGACAGGTGAGAGGGTGACCTGCTTTCTACCATACCCAGTTTCCTAGGATGAAGGATTCTCCACACCCAGACCTGGTCTGGGCAAATGGCTGGGATGGAAATGGGCAGTCATATAGCCTCTGTTAAGGCAGAACGGGGACACTGGCTATCCCATCTCAACCAAGGCTCCCAGGTTTCTAGCCCATTTTCTCCTTTTCAGTGTGTTTCTCTTCAGAATCTGTTCAGTATGTCTCTCAAGTTTTCATTCATTATCTTAACTTTAACTTTTCACTTCTGGGAGAATTTCTTAAATTTGGCTAAGGAAACAATGATTTGTTTTTTGGCCTGATCTAATGTGCTGTCTTACTGTCTCTATTACAGCTTTCTTTTTTTTTCCAGAAGTTAATTGCTCTTCATCAGGTTTTCTAGATCCTGGTGTTGTTTTTTCATAGATTTAGTGTCTTAACAGATCTTTTTGAGAATATGCATTTTAATAGTTTATTCTAGTTGTTGGTAGTGAAAAAATCTTATAGGTAGATACTTGTAAAATGTTTTTCCTTTAAAAGTTACTAGTTCTTTTACATATATGTGGTTATTTTTTTCTTCATCTTTGTAGATGTTCTTTGAGTTTTAGTATTTGAGATGGATTTTATCAGATTTGTTTTCCTAGATTTTCTATACTTTTGATTTATTTATCACTTGCCCTTTGTTTCTGACTATCTCCAGATAAAAACAAGCATTTATGAAGAATTGAAAGACTGTTCTAGGTAGAGGCAGTTGTGAGGGAGGGAGAGAATATTGCTGCTCTGCTGAGGGGGCATTTTGTCCACATTTGTTGGAGTTGCTTGAAATTATATGGAGTACTACCATTCTTCCCCAAATGTCCCAAAATCTCTCATTTGAAGCATGATGCAGAAAGGACTGAAAACCATATCATGTAAGAAATAGAGAAAGTCACATAACTTACATATTTATTTATGGTGCTGTTCATCAAACTCAGGGCCTTGTGCTGGCCAAGCAAGCACTCTACCACTCACCTACATTCCCAGCCACCAAGTTTTTTGGTCTAAAATGGGGAAGAGTTATAGGAAATATAACAAATGTCTTCAATAGATGAAGGGTTATAACAAGAAGGATTAGAGTTCTTCCGTGTAGTTCCAAATGGTAGAATCATGTTGGATGGGTATTGTCTTACATTCATTGTTAAGAAGGAGAATTGTCGTAACTGACAGCTATTTTAAATTATATTGACTGTAGATTTTAACTATACATTTATATATTGTCCACATATTTATGTTATCATTTGAGACCAGCATGCATGCATGGGAGGAAGCAAGCACCTACCTGGGGTACTAGAATGATCTGTGTAATTTCTAGCAGTATCATTTGCTCACAGAAGCTTTATCCTCACAGAATTCCTGGTTTTCATTTCTGACCTCTTCTTCTGTTTTGTGATTACCTGACCACACTTTCTTGATATTTATGTGGTAGTCATCTTTCATTTGCACGAGTTCTTCTCATCTAGTTATTATCATATAATATTCCTTTGGGCGGTGTGGTAGGCAATTCCCAGAACCCGTGGATTTGTTATCTGACATAGTAAAAGGCAATTAACATCGCTAATCAGCTGAATTTAAGACAATGGAGCTATCCTAGACTATGATGAGCCCAGTGTAATTACAAAGATCCATATATCTATGGAATAGGGATATAGAAGGTGATGTAACAAGAAAGATTAGGCTAGTTATTGCTGGCTTTGAAAGTGGAAGAAGCTACAAATCAAGGAATTTCAGATGCCTCTAGAAGCTAGAAAAAGCAAGAAAATGGATTCTCTGCTAGAACCTCTAGAAAGGAACACAGCCTTGCTGATTTTTTTTAGTTTTAGCTCAGGGAAGCCCCTTTTGGATTTTTGACATCTGGATCTAAAATATCATAAATTAATGTTGCTTTGGACCATTGAGTTTATGGTAATTCATTACAGCAGTAATAGGAAGCTAGTACATGTTTCTGAGAAAATCAAGGCCATATTCCAGGAATAGATAGAACTTCTTGTGATCAGAAAATTAATATGTGTATTGCTGGACTGTTTTATTCAACCATCTTCTGATAACCATTTGCCTATACAAATACACATTCATTTCTCCGGCGCATGTCATTGGTCATCTAAAGTTCTAGTCAATAAAGGTAGCCTCTACAAAATAAGACCCAATAGAGTGAAGCTTATAGGGAGGATGATTTCATCCAAGATGAAAAATTTTCTGTTAAAACCACTAAAAGAGATATTGGGCCATTTTTTTGTGAAGCAGGAGCTAAGTATTTTATGGAAATGATAGAGAATATTCATGTATTAGTTGAGGTATTGAAGTAGGGTAGCTTCTATTGTTTTTGAATCCTACTGAGGAGCTGGGAGGAAGAAGTATCCCTGAGGATTGATGGATTTTCTGTGTATAAAGGTGGAGTGTGACTCAGACTGTGTTTGCTAAGCTGTGCATTCTATGGTGGTGCTATACCTTCCATATAAAGTTATTATCTACTTGATTATATGTGTGTTTGAAGAATTGCACTCACCCAAAGGTACCCTTTTTAAAAATTCTACAAAGATGCTTTATTGGGCCAGCATAAACCAAGAGACTAGGGCTATAGCAGTTTCCTGGAGTCACAGAAGCCAAAACAATGATAAATTAGAAAAAAAATTAGCAAAAGAAAAGAGGGATCATATTACTATTTCTTTAATCATACTCTGGTTTCTCCTATCCTGTAGTCATCTTCAAAATTATGCTGTTGGTACTTGCTCCCTGTCTTAGTTACTTTCTCATTGCTGGGACACAGTACCTGACACCCACAAGTTAGAGAAGGAAAGATGTATTTTAGCTCACAGTTGGTAGAGGTTTCGGTCCATAGTCAATTGGCTCCAAGGCAAGACAGCATGGCAGAGGGGCATCACACAAGAGAAAGTGTATGGAGGTCAGGCAGAAAGCAAGAAGCAGTAGCATCGGTCCTCCCTTTCCTTTTTATCCCACTCACACTATAAACCTATTGATGGGTACCACCCAGAATTGGCTGTCCCATTATCCACACCCAGGACTATGCTAATCCAATCAGTGGAATAATTTAGTTAACATCTTTAATCCATATTCATACACCCTAGATCCTGCCACCTCCAAAAAGCCCTACCCATGAGTACATGAGGCTTTGGGGCGCACATCTAGATATAAGCCATAATACTCCATGTCAGTATATTCTAATAGTATATCTAACTAGGGAAAGGAACTAATAAATCAATATTCTAATGAATATGTGTAGTTTAGAGTTAAACATGATCTCTTTTAAGAGTTTTCTGTAGAAGTTAGTAATAAAAGGAGGGAAGCAATAATCTACACATTAGAGATTAAGGTAGGAGTATGTCCCCTCAATATGCTCAAAGCGAAAGCGAAGTGTCTCTCCTGCTTGGAATACTTGTCATTTACCCAAATATATAAAGACAAATAGTGCTAGGGTCCTCAAAAGCATGGGAGATATACATAGGCATCTTACCAACTCAGCTTTTGCATAACTAGCAGAGTCCTAGTTGGCCAGGACCAACCTTGTTGCCACAGATAGTACTGGTGGTGAGATCTGCCTGGAGATGGGCTCCATACACTATCTGCATTCTTGTCCTCTCTTTTTATTCTTCCAGATGAGCTTTAACATGAGACATGAGACCCTGTACTTGGCAATGAAACTGGTGGATCATTACCTAATGAAGGAACTGTGCAGGAAGCACAAGCTACAACTCCTTGGTTCTACTGCCTTTCTGATTGCAGCAAAGTTTGAGGTGAGTCTTGAGTCCCTAAGGTGTGGAGAGAACTAACATAATCAGGATTCCATTCCAAGCAGATAATTAATACATATATGTATTTTTATGCACACACATAATGCACATGTACATGTATGCACACATTATGTGTATATGGATCTGTGTGTATCCAATTATAGATACAAATAATATTTTCCTTTCAAATTTTTTGTTTAACTCAGCTGGTACTGGTTGGCAGTGGTGGTGTATTTATTTTCTGGCATCAGCAAGATTCTTCTCTTTCCTCTTTGAAGAGTTGTTATATGTATATGTCCCTAATTAAACGGGTAGTTCTTTTTAAAACCTCCTTCTGCCCCATGATTTTCTGCACCTCCTCTTTGTTTTTTTTTTTTTTTTTTTTTTTTGGCATCGGGGATTGAACTCAGGTCCTTGTGCTTGCGAGGCAGGTGGCAGAACCACTGAGCTAAATTCCCGGCCCCTCCTTTTCTTGTTGTACCAGCTCCATGCCTATTTAGTGGTGTCTTGATCTGCATATAGAACAAAATATTTCCAAACCATGGTGCTAGGGATATTCAAGAGAAAATGACTTAGAGGAGAAGGCAGTGAGTCAGATGATCCAGGTAAAGTTGTTATTTTTGAAGTAGTGGTATAAATGCCAGTAGCTGGTCTTTTCTTCACGACTATAATCTCTCTAGCTAACTTTTCTGATTCTTTTCCTTTTCCTAGGTGTTAACTGAACTTGTTCAACTGCCCCTTTTTCTTCAGAAAATCTGGTTGTTTGAAAACAGGATTTGTGAGCAGAGAAGTAGAGAATTTTGTTGAGATCAAAGAATTTTAGAACTGTGTTTTTATTTAGTCGTGTGCTGGTGTTATAGCTTAGAATTTAAAAGTTCCCTAAATGTCTCACATTTGGAGGTGAGCATGGTTAGGGTGGATGAGTTACTGGGAACACAACTTGGAAGGCTGTATTATCATTCTTTGCTCCTTCCTTCTCTCTCTGCTTCTTGGATGCCATACAGTGAACAGTTTTCCCCTGCTATGCTGTTCTACCATATCATTTCTGCTTTGGAGCCAGCTGGCCATGAACTGAATCCAGTGAAACTTTGAGCCAAAATAAATCTCTCCTCCTTTAAATTGTGGGTGTTGGGTATTTTGTTCCAGCACCAGGAAAGTGACTAGTAGAGAAAATTGACAATAGGAGTGAGGTCATTGCTTTGACTAGACCTGGCTATGTAGTTTAAAAGTCTTTGGAAATGGTTTTTGAGAGGGATTGGGGAAGATTTGGAGATGTGGGCTAGATGAGTTCTGAAATGCTATAAGCATAGATTGAGGATACATTCTGATTGGAGCTAGGGAGACCAGAGTACTAACGGGAGTATGCACAGTAAAGGCCAAGCTCAAGAGGTTCCAGTTAGGAACCAATGGGAAGAACTCCAGTGGTAGACTAGAGGCCTTGTGTGTTATACTCTGGTAAAAAAATTGTCTACATTTTGCCCACGTCCTGAGATCCTGTGGAAGATGGAGATTGAGGGTGGCAGACTAACTCATTTGGAAGAGGAAATTTCAAAGCGGCTCAAAGTTGAGGCTGCAGCATAGATACTGCTGGCTGCTTTTAGCCAGATCTGTACTGAGAATCAGGAGCAAACTGTAGAGCTGAATGATTTTTTAAAATTTTATTAGTACATTTATATATAAATAATGATGACATTAGTGATAGGTAATTTGTAAGGTTTGTAGTTTTGCCAGAAAGGAAGTACTTGCAAAGAAGATCATGATTGCCAAAAAGATTCGTATTAAAAAGAAGCCAAGTATTTTTTTTTTCAGCTTTAATTGAGTTTATTGGTACACTTTAGGGATACAGTACAGTTACATTCATTGTTGGGATCTTGTACCTCTACATGAAGTCTTGATTCTCATTTTTTCCCCTTACCTCTGCTCTCCCTTCACCCCCTCCTCCCCTCCCCATCTACAAACACTTTATTTTCATCTTTTCATTCTCTCACATTTTTTTCTTTTCCCTTTTTACTCTTCCCCTACGCATCCCACCTTCCCTACACCTTTAGCTCCTTTCTTCCTATTTCTAAATGTCAGTAATCTTATTAGAATCTTATGCATTTTATACAAGGACAAAAAGAAAGATATTTTAAGAGCAACTGAGAAATCAGCAACACTATAAACCTTTCATTTGAGAAGAGTGTCCCTGGGATGCTTTGCTTATTCAGGGCTGCCTAGGGAAGTGTATCCTTGAGTTCAGGCATCCAGCCACTCAGAAACTGCTAATCCATGGACCAAGGGAGGGCAGCTACTGATGAAGTTGGTGGCTGATCTTGGCATATGGTGCTAGTTTTTGAGGCATCCAGAATGCAAAGGTTATGCGATCACAGAAGCTGCTACTCAGATTTCAGAAGAAGGCCTGAGAGGCCAGGCAGAAATCTGTGATAGTCACATTTCCTGCCAGGAGCTCATGAGAGGGCAATGGATAAAGCTGTGAGAGTGAAGGTGTAATGGAGACCCTAGGAAGTTGGAGATGCCAGGAACGTGGAACACTGTGAAGGAATGCTGCTGGCAGTGAGTGAACCCAGACCAAGAGAGAAGCCATGTGGGCTGCAACCAGTAAGGCCATAGGGGCTGGGCTATCCAAGCCCTTTGGAGCTCACATCTCACCAATACCTGCCCCGGGGTTGGACATGCAGCTGTATGATTTAATATTTGACCTGCTGGCTTTCAGCCTTGCATTGGTCTGATTTCTTACTGATTCCTTATTTCTCCCTTTTGGAATGGGCATGTTTACCCTGTGCCCTTGTATGTTGAGAAGTGGTTAACTTTTTTATTTTTCTACAAGCTCACAGCTAAGAATTTGCTTTGAGTCTCAGAGACTTTGGACATGGACTTTTCAGCAGTGTTGGAACTGTTAAGACTTTGCCAATTCTCAGAGATGGACTAAATGCATTTTGCATAAGATGGTTATGAGACTTTTGGGGGCCAGAGGCAGAATATTATTGTTTAGATATAAAATGTTCTTAAGCTATCTCACTTCTAGACGTATAACCTGGTTGAAAAGAGTGGATCGATGAGTGCATATCTTGGAAGGGTATGTTCTTGTCCCTGGATCTTCCCTTCTCTGCTTTTTGGCTGCCATGTGTTGAATAGCTTTATTTGCCATAATGTTGTCCTGTGCCCCATTTCTGCCTTGGCGCTAGATGACCATGGCCTGAATCTACTGAATCTGTAAGCCAAAATAAAGCTCTTTCATTAACTTGTGGGTGCTAGGTCTTTTGTCCTAGCAATGGACTATGCTGTAGCAAGGGAGACTCATATACTGGCCTCATATATTGGAGATACCCTATGCCTTAGCCTCAGTGTTGAACCCTGGTCAATAGAAAGAGGAAGGGTGAACAGAGGAAGAAGGGAAGAAAAGTGGGGGGTACTTCATAACAAATCTTAGTACCAGGAATATTTGTCATATGATGGCCAGGACGAAGCCTCTACTAAATCCTGTGGATGAGCTGTGTCTTCTTTTCATAGAATTAAAATACACCAGAATATTTTATGAGGGGAATTGTGGAGATCGGATGAGGAGAGAAGAAAGGAAGGAGTAGGAGATGAGCCTGACCAAGTCACTTACCCTCACTGGACCTCAGTTTCTTTTTCTACAATACCAAGTTGGTCCGGTTTGTGATCTGAAACTATTTGAGGGGAGAAATGGAGGATGGGAAGAGAATCAGGGGTTTTCTTGCCTGCAATGGTTTCCCCAAATCCAAGCTTCAATCTCTAGAGAATAGGAGATGGGAAAGCACTCCAGAGCAGTGGTTCCTTTAACTCTCAGCACCTCCCTATCCTGCCCCATGAACATTCTCTCCATCTCTGGCTCCCTGTGATGAGAAAGTCAACTTAAAGGAGGAAAGTTTGTTTGGATTCATAGTTTTGGAGGTTTCAGTCCATGGTCAGCTGGTTCCATTACTGCAGTCCTGATATTAGCCAGAAACATCATGGCACAAGGGCGTGGCAGAGGAAAGCTGCTCACTTTGTGGCAGCTAGAAGCAGAGAGAAAGAGGGGAAAGAGCCAAAGAAGGGGCTGATGATATATATCCTTCAAAAGCATCCTCCGTCTCTTAATAGCCCATCGATTCACTGAAGAGTATACGGCCCTCATGATCCAGTCACCTTCCCAAATTCCCAGCTCTGAACGCGTGAGACTTTTGGGGGACATTTTAGATCTAAACTGTAACACTTTCCTTTTGTGGTCTCTTTCCTTCCTCTACCAGAACAGACCATAGATCTCCCATTCCTGGTTCTCACTCATTAGGAGGGAAGATTGCTGCTGTCAGGCCCTGTGCCCTCTTACATGGCTTCTGCCACTGTAAGAATCCATGCCATTAGGCTATGTCTGCCTCTGATGGTGGTGCACTTTTACAGCAGGCCTCCCTCTCATTTCTCTGCTTTTGTTTTTCTGTTGAACCACTCAGATCAACCTGAAACTGGCTTTCAGAGCTTCCCTGAAACCGTGTGGGGTGCAATATGATTGCCTCCTATCTTTTACCCTGCTTTTCCTCTGCCTCTCGTTAATAAGCAGAGAGGAGAGAGCCCTCTGCCTGGTTGTGACTGCTTGTTCTCTCACCCACAGGAGCTCCTTCCACCTTGTGTGGATGACTTGCTGTATGTCTGTGATAATATATATAAACGACACGAGATGATTGCCATGGAATTGAGCATCCTGAAAACCCTTAACTTTGACATCAACATTCCTGTTGCCTATAATTATCTGCGCAGATATGCTTTGGTAAGAGGGAGGGGGCATTTCTTTGTTTTCTACTTCTGTGCTAGTCTTCTTGATCCAGAGAGACTGTGAATTTTCTAACTTAAAAGTTGGCAGTCTAAGCCCAGTGTGGTGGCACAGCCCTATAATCTCAGCACTCTGGGAGCCTGAAGTAGGAATGTCACATGTTTAAGCTCAGCCTGGGAAACTTGCTGACTTACTGTGACCCTGTCTCAAAGTTAAAGGGAGGGGTACTAGGGTTGTAGTTCATTACAAAGGCCCCTAGTTCAATCCCTAGTACTGAAAACAAATAACTGTCTTTATGAAGCAATGGAGGAGAAGGCACATTACAGATTTCCACAGTGTACCTTAAGATTTCAAGATAAAGGCAGAGTTGGGCAAGGGAGAAGAATCTTTGATTAGTAGGGGTACATGAGAAATTTTGGGGGAATTCTGACTATGTTCTTTCTTTCTTGAGTATTGGTTTCAGTGGAGGCCACATTAAATTATTTGTTATATCCTCCAAGTGTGTGCTGTGTATTTTTCTCTATGCTGTATGTTATATATTTTTTCAAATAAGAAAAGCAAAGGGGTGGTTTTGGAGCATGGAACACTTCTAGGATAGAATGGGGTGCAATGTCACAGTTGGGAGAGTTGAACTTTTCCAAGGATGGCTTCTAGAGGAAGTAGGAGGGTACAAATTCAAAAATTTCTTTTAAAATCCTAATGATTGCAAATCTCACTGCTAATTTCAAAATCTCTTTATAAGGAGTCTGTTTTTGCAGGTAAGGACTACAGGGTAAGTCCAGTGGCAGGAGAGGTACATTGTTCAAGCAGAGAGCTATTTACATGAGGGGTGGGATAATTGGAGGTGGTGTCTTCTACTTGGCATTATTTTTTTGAATTTGTTGTTGAACAAGTCTTTTTTTGCTGTCCTTAGTGTCTCAATGTCAACATGAAGATACTGACTTTGTCTCGCTTCATCTGTGAGTTGACTCTGCAGAAATATGACTTTGTCCATGAGAGGGCTTCCAAGCTAGCTGCTGCCTCTTTCCTCTTGGCTCTCTACATGAGTAATCTCAAAAATTACGTAAGTAGTTATGATAGGAGTAGGGGTTGTATAAACTGGGGCTCTGGGAAGCTCTTAGAGTGCTGTTTTGCTATCTTTTCTCATTGCTTTGGTAAAGTACACCCACAATTTAAGAGAGGAGAGGTTCATTTTTGCTCATGTTTCAGTCCATGGTCAGCTGGCTCTAGGGCAGGACAGTATCTATAGCACAGGGGCATGGAGGAGGAATGGTGGTTTATATCATGGCATCCAGGAAGCATAGAGTCAAGGGAACCAAGAAAGGAGATAGCCCCTTCCAGGTCATGCCTGCAGTGACCTGTCTCACCTGACCAGAACCTACCTCTTAACAGCAAGTCAACTCTAAACTCCCATAATCCAGTCAACTTCCAAAGGTCCTGACTATGCAGACATGAGACTTTTTTTATTAGTACGTGTTTGAAATTCATGGCAGTTAACAGTCATCTTGGGGAGTGGTTATATGTACATACCATAGTTTATTTTTTATCTTATTTTATTATTTTGGTACCAGGAATTGAACTCAGATCCTCGTGCTTGGGAGGCAAGTGGCAGAACCACTGAGCTAAATCCTGGCCCTTATTTCTTTTTTTTAATCCCCTTCTCCTTCCATCCCTCTCCCTCCCTCCTCCTTCAATTCCCCCATCCTATTTTTTCACTCTTTTCTGTTTGTTTGTTTGTTTGTTTGTCTCTCTCTTTTGAGAGAGGATATCACTATGTAGTTGAGACTGACCTGGAACTCACTATGGAGCCCAGGCTGGTCTCAAACTCACAGCAATCCTCCTGCCTCAGCCTCCCAAGTGCTGGGATTACAGGCATGTGCCACCATGCCCAGCCTATTTTTCATTCTTACTGATATTTTTAATCTTAGCTCATGTTATAACATAATGTTTATGTTAATTGAGGTTATTAGATTCCTGTACATGGCATGTCTTTATTCTACTTACTTACCTTTCACTCCTGACCTCTCACACTTCTCCCCTTGGACCACTTCCCTATTGCAAGAGATCCATCTCCTTGTCCCCTTCTATCCATCCTTTATTACTCATTGTTGTACTTTGCCTCACTCAAATGACAGATACCATACGGTGCATAAGCTTGTGTGTCTGGTTTACTTCACTCAAAATTATATTTTCTGGATGCATCCATTTTTCTAGAACTTTCTCAAATCTATCATTCTTTATAGCAGAGTGGTATTCCATTATATATAGATACTACTTTTTTAACCAGTCATTTGTTGTTGGGTATACAGGCTGTTTCCAGGATTTAGCTATTACAAGTTGTTGTGCTATAAACATTACTATGCATCTATTACTCTAGTACGATGTCTTAAACTCTTTAGGGGAAGATACCTAGCAGGGGGATCACTTGAGTCATACGGAATGTCTAATGTCAGTTCTCTGAGAAATCTCCATACTGATTTCCATACTGGTTGTAGTAGTTTACATTCCCCTTAATAATGAAGGAGGGTTCCTTTCTCACCACATCTTCTTTACCCAGCCTCCAGTTGATGGGCAATTGGGCTGTTTCCAAGTGTTAGCTATTACAAACTGTGCCACTATAAACATAGGTGCGCATATATCACTGTGGTATGCTTCTTTTAATTCTTTTGGAAAGATACACAGCAGAGGGATGGCTGCATCAAATGGAAGCTCTAATCCTACTTTGGTGTTCTATAATCATCACTTACTTGTATTTTAACCACTTAGTTTAACCAAGCATCACACAGTCAGCATGTTTGTTCATGTATTGACTATCCTAAGTTTTGCTCAGGCGGGTGTCTTTTTTTTTTTCCAGACAAGGTCTCACTAAGAAGTTCAGGCTGGCCTTGAACTCATTATGTAGCCCAGGCTGGCCTCAAACTTGCAGTGATCCTCCTGCCTCAGCCTCCCAAGTGCTGGGATTACAGGCATGCACCACCATGCCCAGCTGGCAGGTGTCATTTTATACAGTTGATTCTTACATTGAATAAATTTGATAAAACTGTCATTTTATATTTCCTGTTATAAAAATAAACAAAAATATGCAATTTTTGGTCATCCCACATTTAAAGAATTGGACTCATAAGTAGTTAAACTCTTTCCTCATATTTGCTAAATGTTCTTTTATGGTTTCTGTAAGCATGTTGGTATGCAATCTTCTAGATTTACTCCGAGTTCAGTTAGCCTTAGAGAGTTTTTCTTGTCATCTGGTAGCTAGCTGCTGGATAGTCTTGTCTTATTTTCTTTTTGGCTTTCTGTGCTCTTTATCCTACTTCACTATTTTGTTCTCAGTATCAGACACTCTGTGTTTACACTGGTCATTTCTGCAATGTATGAATTATATACTACTTTTTTATTTTGATAGGGTCTCACTCTGTAGTTCAGGTTGGCCTTGAATTCACTATATAGTCCAGGCAGGCCTCAAACTCATAGTGATCCTCCTGCCTCAGCCTCCGAGTGCTGGGATTATAGGCATGTGTCACTGTGCTCGGCTCTATACTACTTTTTTATTTGAAGTATTTCTGTCTGACATCTTTTTGAGGATTTCAGATCCTTTTTGAATCTGTTGTTCAGTTTTTTAACTGTTTTTGTTTAATTTGTCCAGTTTTTAACCTATTTCCCTGAAATTCACTGTGGGCACATTGAATGAAATTGCTGTGAATGTTTGGTACATGTCCTCTTTGAACTCATTTATTCTCTTCATCTGTTCTTTGAACGTTTCATAGATTTTTGCTACTTGGTATTTGTTTTCTTCTCTCTTTGTGTTGCCTTGCTCTGCTTTTAAGAGAGCTGAGGGGAGGGGGTCGGAAATGTTCTGTTTACCTACGTCTCCATTCTCCTATGTGTACCTGTGTTTGTTTGTTTGTGTACATAACTTTTAAAAAACTATATATGGCCCCCTCTCTCTGTCCTCTTTGTTTGGGGGTGTTATGCAGGTTGAGAACTGAAGAAGTGAGGAAAGTTTGTGGCTTGTGTGGAGATTTTGAGTAGGATGTTGCATCCCCAGAGTAAATTTCAGCTTCGTATGTCCAGTGCTAGTATTTGCTCCTTCTGTTAATTCCTTTAAGTGATTTCAACTCTGTCTCCTTGTTTTGCTGAAAGAATTACTTATGGTTATAACAGTCTCCACGGATTCAGTCTTAGAACGCTTTATATGATAGTCCTTGCAGCTGTGCTCCTCCCTTTGTCTATTCTCTAAGCATTGTGACAATTTATTATTTGTGGTTTTTCTTCATTGAGATCTTCATTAGTAGGGGGAATGGGGAGTGGTTGTATGAAGAGTGTTAGACACTTAAGGGAGAGATTTGAAGTGTGGAGTAGTGGTAAATGAGAAGAAAAGGTTGATGGGTCTGATTTTATTGGAGTACTGTGAGTTGAGTTGGAGAGTTTTCAGTTTTCAGAGGATATCTCGTGGGGGCAGGGGTGAGATTTGGGAGAAAGGGTGTTTACTTTGTGGCTGAGGGAAGCAAGTTGTCAGAACTTGCTGAGAGTAGGACAGTAATCTAGCTAAGATATGGAAGAGTCAAAGGCTTCGGATGGGGGGCATCGAGGAATTAATAGAGAAGATAAGGAATGACTGTGAGGGAGCTAACTGTGGGGAATTTAAAAACTTGGGAGGGGGAGTTTACATGTTTGGGAAACGAATAAAGAAATATATTGACAATGTTGTCTGGGGTGGGGGTTGAGGTGAAGAAATAGCCAGAGAGCTGAGATGAGGGAGATAACGTAGATACCTGTTAGATCCGAGGCAGTGAAAGAACAAATACACAAAAGCAACAACCCAACAAACACAGAAAAGCATAAAAGAATATAACATAACCCCACATTACAACATAAATCAAGGAACATAGAAAAACTTCAACCTATAAAATATCTGATGGGAACACAGATTAAATATTCCAAAGAGATATTGCATATGTGATCCCCAGTAGCTTCACACACCAGGAACTCTTGTGATCCCTCTACCATAGCACAGGAGCTGTCTCAAAGTCAGGACTTCTTCCAGCTAGGTTGCAGGCATTCTTGTAGTCTGATCCATTCCAAGTTTGGGGTTAGGAACTTTTGTTGTCCCTCTCTCTCGGTGCGATGGTGGATTGAGCAGACAAGTTCACTGGCACAAAATTGTTCAGAGTCAGGATTATTCCTATGCAATCCAGTTAGGTACAGTAGTAACAAGCTAATTTGTTACAGTGCTATCTATTAGGTCCAGTTGAGATGAGACCATGTTTTGGGTCTCCCTTTAGCCTGGAGAAGAAATTCACAGGTATAGTGTAACCATCATAACAATCCAAGTCTTGACACACAGCTAATGTGCACTAAATTTTATGGCTGTGTCTCCTCTAATGGTGAAAAGGAGCATTTAACAGTAATTTTATAGAATTAGTTATCTAAAACCCAGGAGGTTGGGGACTAGGTAATGCCAGAGAGGGCTAGAGAAGAGAAAAAAGAAAATTAATTTTTTTCTTTATTTCCTTCTCTTTAAGTCCTTTGTTCTGTGGTATAGGAAAAAGGAAATAGGAAGAAGGCAAAGGTTCCTAATAATGGTAAGTGTGTGTTGTGTATTTAGCTAGGGATAAGGGTAAATCAAATAGAAAATTGGTAGTGAGAAATAGGGATGGGAAAAGTTGCTATGATTGATATAAATATTGATAAAAAGTTAAAGAGACAAAAAATGAAAAGGGGAAGTAGAAATAAAAGAAAAATTGGGAATAAATAAGAAACAAGAGAAACAATTTATTCCTTTCCCTTCTTTCCTTTCCCCTACCCCTCCCACCTCAAAAATGAGGTGAAGAGATATGGATAACAGTAGGAAGGCTATAAAGGGATATAGGAGCATTCCTTATCCTGTATTAACTATATCGGGGGCAAAAATACAGGAGAAAGAGAGCCACACATATGCAGACATGCTCTTAAAAGAAAAAAAGGGTGAAACAATGGAATAAAAGTGTGGGGTAAAATGTACAGAAGGAGGAAAATAGCAAAGAATAAACATTTAAAAAAACTTTAAGTAAAATAAAAATTAAT